ATGACAGGCATGAGCCACCGCACCCAACCAACTTTTCTACTTGTTTCCCACAAATATAAGATCACAAATAGAGCAGACATGTCTTGAAGTTGGCATTCTTGTCCAATTAGTTCACCTTCAGCAGTGAGTTTGTGAAATGGGATTGTTGCCATTTTATAGTCTTGAGATATGAATAAATAGCATGCATTTCCCCTTTTAGTCCTTTACAGTGTTTTAAGTGCATTTCAAAGAGAGGAATTGTGGAAATTTGAATGTTTATATGTTAAAAATCTGTTTTATAAAGTGAATAATAATTCTTATATTTTGTCCTGTAGTTTTAGTTATACTCTTTAAATTAAAACTACTTTATGCATAGAATTACTTTCTTTTCTTTTTTTTTTTTTTTTTGAGACAGAGCCTCACTCCATCACCCAGGATGGAGTGCAGTGGTGCCATCTCAGCTCACTGCAACCTCCACCTCCCGGGCTCAAGTGATCCTCCCACCTCTACCTCTGGAGTCACAGGGCCCACAGGTGTGCACCACCATGCCCTGCTAATTTTTTTTTCTTTTGATGTTTTTTATAGAGAAGCGGTTTTGCTACATTGCCCAGGTTGATCTCAAGCTCCTAGGCTCAAGCGATCTGCCCACCTCTGCCTCCCAAAGTGCTGGAATTACAGGTGTGAGCCACCGCACCTGGTCCCCATTCTTTAATATTCAACTAACAGTGGGCAAAAATCTGTAATAAGACATATTTGGAGAGATACTGAGGTCACTGATTTCTTCAAGTCATTTCTCCTTTTATTTATATCCTATGATTTATTGAAAATACATAATCTTGGTTATCATAGTCTTATAAACGTCCTCCCCAAGGTATAGTTTAATGTTATAAATGACCTATCGTCCTGTAGTCCTCACAAATCTTTAATGTTACAAAAACCAATCAAGCAGTCTGAAACATCAGAAATCATCTTTTCTAAACAGAGAGGTAAAAATGTCGCCCGAATGAAGAAAAGAGTCTTTGGTGCATCAATTTTTTGTGTTTTCTCACAGCATTCCTGTTTTTCCTTATATTGAAGATGTTCATATATACCAGTGAGATATATTTGTATCTACTATGTATACAGTGTGTATACACATAGTATACATGTATATGCATTCTATATACACATATTTGTTTATATAGTGTGTGTATATATACATATAATCTATGTAGAGATATAGCATATCTATGTACACTTATTCACTGCTATATATCAGTAAGAATCTTCAATATAAGGAAAACAATTATGTAGATATATTATAGATATCACTATATATACATACTATGTAAACAAATATATGTATATATAGTTTCTATACATTTATATTATATACATAATATATAATGATGTATATACACAACATAATATATTATACATAGTATATATAATACATAATATATAACAATTTGCATATGCATAATTATATGGCATGTATATGCATAGTATATATAATATATACACAATATGTATATACACAGTATATATTCTGTACATTGCATATTATGTATATAGTGTATATACATATATATTAAGTATATATCAAATGTCAAGTAGACACTTGATATTTGTGATTCATCTTTCTGAATCCCCAAATCCACACTTACGGAAATCTTATACATTTCTAGCTTTTCCCTGAATCATCTTTTTGGTGGAAAGTCACTTGTTAGCTGAATAAGAACCTTACACACCAAATCAGAAACTTCAACTTTCAAGATTTCTGTAGGCCTGGAGACGTTTTATATATCAAAACTTCCCAATCATTTTTTAAAAGTTTTTTTATGAAGGTAAGGACATTCATGATGATGAATAAAGAATAACAAAGACCAGATGAGAGGCCGATGTGGAGTGGACTGGGTGAGTGAGGTGGGTTCGCCACTTATCACAAGCTTGGCAGCAGCGTCTGGATGTCAGTCTGAGTTTCCGTTTCAATTCCTGTCCTCAGCAGCATTTCAAATTACTACATGGCATAGATCTTTAGGGTTGCAAGTCAAGCCTGCAAATGTTAAGCTACCAAATGCACACCTTTCCAGTAGTGGTTCTATGGCTAATAATATTAAAGTATCATGTTCTTGTCAGGTTTCTTTCTCTCTCAAGGATGAGCAAGTTAATTCATATCTTACCCACCCAAGTCTTAAATTAGAAAGCTTGTGGTAAAGTTCCCTACTGTCAAATTTTAACACTGGGCTCAGAATTCCCATTGCAAATTTACACTTGGTTTTCCAATTAAAATGGGCTTTTGTGAGTCCCCTGCTGATAGCCATTGGCTTGATAAAAAGTAACTTCATTTGCAGTAAGGGTGTTTAGGGAACCCAGTGCAAGGCTGACTCTTCTGCTGTTGCCTTGAGCCCAGCTGTGCTGAAATATTAAACTTTAGTAAATTAGGTGAAATTGCAGCTTCCTGGCTGATACAATAATGCCTTTTTCCTTTTCTGCAAACCATGTTCAGCATTGGTTCTCTGCACAATTTTCTGCACTGAGATAAAAATTGGAATGTCTTTCAAATCCAGGCAACTCTTCATTTTCTAGATAATTGTGCCATATTCTACTTATTTAACAAACGGCTTAAACTTTGAAATATGTAGAATTAGATTACAATATTATTCTATCACTACCTGAATATAGCATTACTGTATGTCATACTCAGATGAAGCAACTGAATCCCTATAAATATTAGTTTTATGTAAAAGTAGAAGCCTATTTTTATTCTTGATTAGCACATATATTAACAGCAGTGATGAGCTATAGAAGGAAATCATATTCCTAGTCACATTTATTTTTAGTTTTATTGCTCCATTTTCTCTTTAAAAATAACACGAGTTCTTATGTGTTTTTATTCATTGACCAAACATTTATTGATCAAGTATTGTGTGCAAACTTCTGTTTTGTGTTCAACCAGATGTTTTTAGAGTAAATCCAGAATCAGCAGAAAGAGACTAGGGACACTGGTATCTCTTTCCCTGATATATGTTTTCTTGTGATAGAATCTTTGGTGACAGCTTTATTTAGCTGTCTGGCCTGGTTGCTCCCAAATGGCTCTCACTTTGGCCTCTTTCAGGTGAAGACCATATGTGTCTAGATGTCAGTTGAAATATCGTATTTTTGTTGCTTGGGAAAGTTAACTCATTAAAGCCTTTTCAAAATTGAAGTCATTTCAAAAGATCTTATCAAGGTACTCCCAAGATGGTGGAATCCAAGGGTTGCATTTGGAGAAATCCCAAAACTATACCAAAGTAAGAGTGAATAGTTTCATAAGCCCACATATAACCACAATGGAATTAAAACCTAGGGAAGTGGCTAAGTGGAGGCTTGGGCAGTCAGGATAGTTTAGGGCATAAAGAGTTGAGACCCACTTCTAAATAAATAATTGGAGAGCCAGTCTCTTTCATAGTGTCATTGGATCACTCTCCTGCAACAGATGAGATACTCGTAAATGAGATACTAACCAATATGATCTAGACCATGGTTTCATTTTGCCGGCCGTAAGAAGGATACCATAGGTTGGGTGACCGAAAGAACAGAAATTTATTTTTCATGGTTCTGGAGGGTGAGAAGCTCAAGACCAGTGTGCCAGCATGGTCAGGTTCTGGTGAGGGTCCTCTTCCTGCTTGGCAGAAATCTGCCCTCTTGCTGTGTCTTTACACTGCACAGAGCAGAGGGAGAGGAGGCAAAATCCCCGCTGCCTGCTCTTATGAGGGATCTAATTCCACCAGGAAGTCTCCACCCCATGAACTAATCAGGTACCAAAGGCCCCACCTCCAAATACCACCACATTAGATTGGGGATTTGGGTTTCAACATACGAATTTTGTAGAGACACAAACATTCACCCCATAGCAGTGTTAAAAGAAAAACATCAGACAAATTAAATTTAGCACAGTTTATTTGAGCAAAGCATTCATGAACTGGGCAGCACTCACAACCAGAGGAGGTCCAGTGAGGTCCACCTTACGGTGTGAGCAGCAAAGCCTGATAGGCCAAACTCAGAAGCACAGTAGAGAAACTGATTGGCTATAGCTATGCAGGCTGCCTTATGGGGCCTGGTGTAATGAGTTGGTTGCCTGTGATTGGCCAGTAGCCCCCTGTTCATTACAGCCTAATGTAGGTTTCCATTGTTAGGTGGGAACTCAACGTACAGAGACAGCCTCAAGCTAATGGCTTCTTGCTTATTTAAGAGCAGTATGCAGACTTTTTCTAGAAAGCTTCAAATGGTGAATATTTCAGGCCTTGTGGGCTATGCCACCTCTGTCATCACTACTCAATTCTGCCCTTGCAGCCCTAAATCATACAGCCATATGCAGTCACTGATAATACAAAGCCATGGGCATGGAGGTTTTCCAATAAAACTGTTTGCAAACACAAGCAGGGGCTACATCGGTCTGCGGGTAGTAATGTGCTCCACACCTAAAGGTCTCCCAGCCCCTCATACCAATTCGCTGTCCCTCTGAATCTGGGTTGAAGTAAGCACAGGTTACTGCTTCTCTTCTGGGTCATGATCCACCCAGCAATTCCCCAGTCCCCAGCTTAATTCATGCGTGGGAGGATGCAGTCGAGCGACTGCACAGTTCCGAAAGTTTTTGAAGCGGCCCTTTTCTCCTCTCCTCTCTCCCCAGGCAGAGTTGTGGTGTGGCTGGGTGGGCTGCGTGGGCTTCTGGGGGACACGCGGGCACTCGGGACGAGGCGAGCGCGCAGAAAAGTTGGAGCCCAATCAGCACGGAGTTGAGCTTCCGCGCCCCAACCTTCAGGTGACCCCGCGCGGCGGCGGCGGCAGCAGCAGTGGCAGCGGCGACCGGAGCCCGCAGCAGCTCGGAGCGCCTCCGGGAGGACAGGCGGCGAGCTCGGCGAATCGTCATCTGCCAGCCGATCGCGGCGCTCAGCCGGCCGGGGCCGGGAGCCCGGAGCGAGCCCGGACGCGGCTTCTTCTCCGCCGGCCGCTGAGACTCTGCCGGGTGGGCTGGGGGCGCCCCTCGCCGCCGCCTGTGAACGCTGTGGGTGCGCTGGGCTGCGGCCACCGCGGCGGTGGCGGCGGCGGCGGGAGCCGCGAGTCGGGGCCGCCCGGGCTGCGCTTCGCCCCGGCAGCAGCGGTGGCGGCGGCGCCTGTGGCTCAGGATGCGGCCGGGGGGCGCGCTGCTCGCCCTGCTCGCCAGCCTGCTGCTACTGCTGCTGCTGCGCCTGCTCTGGTGCCCGGCAGACGCGCCCGCCCGCACCAGGTAACCCACCCGCCCGCCGGTCCCCGTGCCGCGCTCCCCGCCTGGCGACCCCGGACCCCCAAGACGCCCATCGCTTCCCCGCGGGCGCAGAGACTTTTGGCCGCGGCAGAGAGCAGCACACGGGCGGCGACGGCCTGAGAGTGCAGTGGGGGAGGGGGTCGCAGGGAGGCGACCCTCGGATCGGTGGACAGCCGCTGGGGAGCAGAGGGACCGGTCAGGGCTGCGGGGGCTCTAGCGCGCATCTCTGTGGGCAAGGCAGCTGTGGAGAGGGACCAGCCGTCGGGTTCCCCATCAGGATCCCGGGCTCCCCATTCTGGTCCTTGCTGTCTCTTCCTTCCCGCCCTAAGGCTCTTCCAACTCTGGGGTTAGGGACCTGACCTGGGAGCTGGGGAGCGCGAGATCTCCCTGCCAGGCAAGGAGCGCGACTCCCAGCCTGTCAGCCAACGGCTCCCGGTGGGGTGTAGCAACTTAAGTTTTCTCTTCGGCTGTGCAGGATCCTGGTGGAAGAAAGCAAGGAGGCCACTCACGGCACTCCTGCAGCGCTGAGGACGCTCCGGAGCCCGGCGACCGCGGTACCGCGCGCCACAAACAGGTACAGCGGCGCCCAGCGCTGGCGGAATGGGGCTCGGGGGCTGCGAGCCGGCAGTGGGGCGCGGCTGCACCGGCTTGGACTCGCTGGGAGTAGGCAGGTTGGGACCGCGCGATTGAGTGTGAGAGTGTGCGTGTTTGGAGAGGGCGCGGGGAGTGGGGGCACTCTTCACACTCCCTCAACCCTCTAAGCCTCAATGTGAAGGGTGTTTGAATTAAGGGGGACCCTCCAACAGCTGCATTTGAAAAATGGGTGCTGAGTTTTCCTTTCGACGATGGTGTGTTGAAAGCCGCCCCCCGCCCCCGCCAACCTTTCGAGAGAAGCAGCTCAGCCTGTCTTTATGGAGGGATCTGGTTGATTTGCTTTTTGTTTTCTATGCTTTAACACGCACCGGTGTTAAGATTCAGGTTTCTTCTGTGTGCTAGAAATGATTTTGTCCTTAGTGATTGGAGGCTTAAATTTTTTTCTTATCATTCATGTGTGTATTTATTCATAGGCAGTAATTGTGTGTGTGTATGTGTGTGTGTGTGTGTGTGGTTTTTCGGATTGTAAAAGTAATACAGCTTGGTGCAGAAAGTTAGAAAATAGAACTGTATAAAAGAAAATTCTTTTCATTCAGAGTCCTTACCTCTCAGAGACCATATTCAGTTTGGTTTTGGTCTGTATTTCTTCCAGTAGTCTTTTCTATATACATATATTTAAAAAATATAGCTGAGATTATACATTGTAATTTATCTTCTGACTTTTTTCTAAAAATCCTAGACCTATACCTGTCATTACATTCCCCTCCCCCCACAAAAACATTGCTTCAGATTGTTGCATAACTTATTATCTGAAGGTGCCATAATCTATTTAATAGTTTCCATTTTTAACATTTAGGTTGCTTGCTGTTTCTGTTTTATTTTGTTTGCCATCAGTAATTCTATGAAGTGCATCCTTGTATGTAAATCTTTAGCTTCATTTCAAGTTCATTACCCAGGATGGACAGATAAGAGTTGAGATTATTAAGTCAAAGAGTATGTACTCTTTAGATTCCAAGTCACATTGTCAGTTGCTTCCTCGAAGGGTTGAATCAATTTACATTTTCACAAGCAGAATGTACTGCTTCCTGCCTTAGCATTGCTATTATGATTGCAATCTTGTATACGGTCTCTTTTCCTCTTTTTATCTCTTGCAAATCCCTTTTCCTCTGCGTATGCTTCTCTATATTCTTGGCTCTTGGATCCACCTTAATCTTCTGATGGTATGACTCCAGGCAGCTCTAGCACGGCTCTAAGAAGGGTCTGGAAGTGTTTGGAATAAACCCTGAAGTGAGGAACACCACTGCCTGCCACCCCCTCATTGGAATTTCACAGCATATTAGAGGCACTAGGACCTCCTGGAGTAACAAAAGCTTTTGAGAAAAATAATGTCCTATAGTTTTTTCTATTCCGGTTGGTGTACTATAGGTAACCTAGCTTTCTCGATGAACTGAGAAGCATTCAATGTTTTCCGAAGTCCTGCGGCTATTACACATTCGAGGGTTGACCCTTTGCGAACGTTTGAAAGAATGTACTCATTAAATGGCATTTGATCTCAGGTCATTTTTAGAGGTAGTTCTTTGATGAATTTTTCACTTTCTTTTGACACACTTCTTTTCTACTTGGCATACTTCTTGGGCTAATATAGGTAACTCATAATTCTGAATATGGCCCATTTTATGAAGCTTTTTAAAATTTACACCATTCTTCTGTGTTTGTAAAAGCCTCTTTATGTTTTGATTTATTTTATGTCCCTTTATCATTTATGATTTTGGTTATTTATGGAGCAGGGGTACAAGTTTTAATCCACCATACTACTTGGTTGTCTAGAGAAACTGTAATTTCTTCATTTTTCTGGAGCTGGTCTGATCTTCCCACATGAGCCCCATGGTAATGATCTTGTAGGAATAAGGAGAGCCAACACTTAATCAACTATTCTTATGGGCCAGACACTGATCTAAATACTTGACATTTTTAATTTTAAAAATTTTCAAAATAGGTTTAGGGGGTAAAGTGCATTTTTGTTACATAGATATATTGCCTAGTGGTGAAGTTGACATTTTAGTGCAACCGTCACCCAAATAGGGTGTACTTATTTTACCCAATGGACAATTTCTCAGCTCTCCCCTCATTCTCACTCTCCCACCTTTCTGTGTCTCCAGTGTTTATTAGTCCACAATCTGTGTCTATATGTGCACATTATTTAGCTCCTATTTATGAGAACATGTGGTATTTGACTTTCTGTTTCTGAGTCATTTAATTTAAGAGAATGGCCTCCAGTTCCATCCCTGTTGCTGCAAAAGACATTAAATCCTTGTTTTTCATGGCTGAGTTGTAGTATGTGGTATATATATGCCACATTATCTTTATCCAGTCCTCTGTTGAGGGACCCTTAGGTTGATTCCATGACTTTGTTGTTGGGTATAAGCACTTTACATCTAATTCATGTAATCCTTAAAAAATACTAAGAGAAACTATTGTTATCCTAATTTTTATAGAGGGGGACATTGAGGCAAAAAGATTAAGTAAGTTGCCCACAATCACAGAGTTAACACATTGTGGAGCCTGGAGTGAAACCCAGGCCAGGAGAACCAGAATCCCACATGTTTAATTTCCCACTGTGTTGCCTGCCATAGGTGCCGGGAAAGATGGTGTGTGTGTGTGTTTGTGTGTGTGTGCGTGTTCAAATATTCAACCCAGGCAAAAGCTTAGATGTGACTATTGAAGAGACTCTTTCTGGCAATATTTGTTCTTTCTGAGGAAAAATGCCCAGGCTCTCAGATTGCTCCTACCATCTCATCTCACTTTAAGATGCCATTCAAGTAAGCCAAGCGCGGAGGCTCACGCCTGTAATCCCAGCACTTCGGGAGGCAGAGGCGAGTGGATCACTTGAAGTTGGGAGTTCGAGACTAGCCTGACCAACATGGTGAAACCCTGTCTCTACTAAAGGATACAAAAATTAGCTGGGTACGAGGGTGTGCACCTGCAGTCCCAGCTACTCAGGAGGCTGAGAGGCGAGAATCGCTTGAACCCACGAATGGGAGGTTGTAGTGAGCCAAGATCATGACACTGCACTCCAGCCTGGGTGGCAGGCCAAGGCTCTGTCTCAAAAGAAAATGAAAAAAGATGACATTCAGGTGTATTAGGGAGGGGGCCTTAGGTGTTGCAGTGGTCATGAGTTGGAGCTCATGATCATGGTAGCCTTTCCTTCTAATCTACAGGGTGATGTTGATCCTTTTCCATCTGGTGGCCAGGCACCCTGTTAAGAGCCAATGATAAGATCTGCAGCTTGTGGCTCTTTCTCTTCCCTCAGGTGTTGTACCTGCTGGGCTTCTGGCTTGTCTTGGCCTCACCTGAGATCCTACTGATGTTATCTTTCAGGGATCTGGCAAAGATTCTCTTTTGGTCCTATCTCGGGTTGTCTCTCTGTGACACTGGCTATGATGCTACTCAGTTGTTGCTAGCTAGCTCCACAGTCAGCCTCTCACCTATTTCTGGGCCTCATCTAAACATATAAGAACCAGAATTAGTTCAGAAAACTAAATATCACGGCCTCCCTCTATTTGCGCCACCAAGTAGATGTGACCCTACTCTTAGTTATCTTAGGATGGAGTACTGCCCAAAAAGTGATCTATTTCAAAATCCTAATTGGAGGAGGAAGCAACGCTTTTTTGTCATTTTTATTACTCTTGTCGCTAGCTTTTTATTGTCCCCATCTTTCTCCCTCTCTGAGCCAAAACTTTCCTCTTTCTTTTTTTCTCTTCTGCTCCTACTGACTCAGTTCCAGAAATTGGCAGGCTTCCCTCTGTTTCATATTCTATTCGCCCTGATGCAAACCTGCAGGTCTAACTCAAACTCAAGCCTTAATGATAAATTGTGGGGACTAGAGGAAAAGGATTGGGAAAAGTCAAGCAGCTGTGTCTTCCAAGTAAGATGGTTAATGTGCTAAAGTGGGAGAATGAAAAGAATTTGGAATATGTTCTCTCCAGGCTGCTGAAAATCCTATTTTACTTGTCTAAAGTGGATTATTACCTTATCTACTCTTTTTGCATTCTTTCAGGAAAAAGTCTTAATCTCTTCTTCCTCCCTGCAAAGATGTTTCAAGTGGGCTAGGTTAAGGTCATGTGCTCAGAAAGAAAAAGATAAAAATAAACTAATAGTTTTCAAAGTATCACCTCATTACAATGGATGCTTTCTCTTGCTAATAAGTTTTGTCAAAGTTTTTCATTGACTTTCTTGTTCTTTTAATAACCAGCTCTTGGATTTATTACTCAATGTATATATATTTCCATGTTCTATTTCCTTCGTGGTACTTTTATCTTTTAAAATATTCTATTTTTTCAACTTAATGTCTTGAAATGAATGCTTGATTTATTTATGTTATTTTTCCTCTTTTTTGTAACACAAATATTTAATACTATGAATTTTCCATTGAATGCAGCTTTGGACTCATTCCTTCAGTTTCTATATATAATCTTTAGATTTTAAAAAATACATTCTAAATTGTTTATAATTACATTTTAGAACTTTTTGTTTATCTTCAGAGTCATTTAGGTGAAGACTTTAAACTTTCCAAGTGATTGGAATATTTTTTTCTAAAATATTATTTTCTTAAATAGTATTAAGTTCATTTTGATTCTGAAAGAAGTTCAATAAAACTCTGCCATAATGCCATAAGTGAGTACCCAAATATCCAATCATTAGAAATGAGGGGTTGAATTATTGGGAGATTAATGAAACGGCCAGCACAAGCTTGTGTAACTAGCTAATCTGGAGTTCCATGGGAACATCCATGTCTTGGCTATGATTTGGCAACTTTTGGTGGCAGCTGTCCATTTTGGCTTTAAACATCTATGGTGATGATTTGGGATTGTGTGGCTGGCTGTGACGTCCTGGACAGCAGCTGCTGTTATTCTTTGAATGTCCTGGTTAGTTGGTGTCTGTTTCATTGGCCCATCTGCGATGACTGAACCATGAGTTTAC